GATCATGGCTTTCGCCTTTTTCTCATCTGGATGTCTCTTTCGACTTGTCAATGGCATCAAGAAGCCCATTTCCTTTTAGATGCATTTTTGCACCTATTGCCCATGTCATATAATTGTTTCCAGAAATATCAAGGGCGGAAATTTCGAGCTTAGCCAAATTTGACATGATATCTGCATAGATCATAGATCAGTTCATTAAATATAAATTCAAATTCAAATTTGCACAATAAAAAAATGAGCATTATAACAGTATAAATTTAGCAGAAATTTAGATGGCAGAAAAGTAAATAGCGAAAAAGTAAATTACAGAAAAGTAAATATTCAGGAGGAGGCAAAGCCTCTACTCCAAGAGGAGGTTTTTACCATCAACTCTTATATGATCTAAGGTGACATAGTCTACCATATGATCATTTGCTCGGAGTAGGTACAACCTAGCATCCCGGCTTAAGAAATTCATTTTCGATTGTGGAGACAAAGCCTACCATAACAATCGGCTCGGAGAAGGCATAGCCTACCATCCCGGCATAGCATATAAACAATAAAATTGAATAGACAGAATATAAGAGCAGTTCGTGCTGATAACGTGATATAAATAACTAAATGTACCACTATATATTATATAGTGGATTGATTAATGATAAAGAAAAAGGTGAAAGAGAGAGAGTTACGATGATGTGAGAGAGAGATGGGTGAGAGAGGTATTATACGTGTAGAGAAAGGAGAGAGGTATTGAGTGATTTTCTTCTTGTATTGATCTTAGTAATTATTACATATGCTTAGCTCTATTTATTGAGGAAAATGAGGAGGTGGGTAAGTCGGCGAAGGAGGAGGCGGTTAAATGAAAAATGTTAAACAATTGACATAAGATAATTATCCTTTCGTAACACTATTAAATTTCTTTTTATTTCATAAAAAAAAAATAATGTTGCAACATGATGCAGCCATTCATAACACGCCATCTCATCAAAAGTACACGTGTTAGATTACCATTCGTCACCTGAACGTAAGCCTGCGTGTAACATAAACTAGAAAAGTTAATGAACTAGTAGAAAGACGACGACGACCCTAAGCCGAAAAATCGAAATCGAAATCGGCAAATTTACAATCTACTGTCTCCGGCGAGATCTCTAATCTGATCTTTCACGGTGGCGTCGACGTCCGGGCAACAACAAGCTCTCTCGAGAAGGAAGCCATCATCTTTGTCTTCTTCTTCATCATCACCTCCTCCTTCCTCCTCTGCTTCTCCTGTACGAGCTCCTTCGCCGAGGAAACCGACGCCTGAATTTCCCTTTTGGCAGCAGAACTGGTTTATCGGTCTGCTTTTCGTGATGGCTTTGGGTTTCTTCTGTCTCGCTATCTTCCTCTACCTAAGCCTCGATCCTGATTCCGGCTACTCAACCTCTGCTTCCGCCGCCGCTTCTGGTAAAGAAGGTGTCGAGGTGTGTTTTGATCTCCGAAATCGCTAATCCGTTTGGACCAGAATCACTCCTTTGTTCGGATTGCATTGAGTTTGCTTTAAATTTCGAATTGGGTTTTGATCATCTTCAAGAGAAGATCTGATTCTGTGTTTTGGTTCTGATGTGACACAGATTACTTATGGAAGTGCGATAAAGCTGATGCACGAGAAAACTAAGGTTCGACTGCATTCTCACGATGTGCCGTATGGATCCGGCAGTGGTCAGCAATCAGTCACTGGGTTTCCAGGTGTTGTTGATTCCAACAGCTACTGGGTACTTTCTTCTACCTTGCCTTCTCCTCTTGCTTTAATTGTTGTTGCTCGTTTACAGAGCAAGTAAAAGTTAGAGTCTTTGGGTGTTTAGAACAAACATCAATCAGCACTGAGACCAACTTGCCATGTAGAAGATTGTTCATCTCACACTTTGTTTGGCTCTGATTTAAAGAAGGGTTTTTTAGCAACCCATCTGTTAGTCTGATGCTGAATTGGTGTTTGAGTTTTCTGTTTTATCTAGTGTGTAATGAGTTGTGATGGAGTGTGCATTATTGCTTTGACAGATTGTTAAACCTGTGTCTGGGACAACAGCCAAGCAAGGTGATGCGGTCAAGAGTGGAGCTACCATTAGAATGCAGCACATGAAGACCAGAAAATGGCTCCACAGTCATTTGCATGCATCCCCTATATCAGGGAACTTAGAGGTTAGTCTTGTCTTCCATTTAGAGTAAGTGCAGCAACTTTTTTGTACTCCCTGATACTAGCGAGTCTATGTGAATTGTGACTTGTAAGGAACTATGCCGGTTTCAGTTGGTAGTTGCATTCTCTTTATTGCTAACGAATTTTCTCTGTTCAGGTTAGCTGCTTTGGAGATGATACAAATTCCGATACCGGGGATCACTGGAAGTAAGAATCTTTAAAAGCAATTATTCATCTGGTATATAGTCTATCAACAATATCCACCCAAAAACTCACACAACTTGAACTTACTGTTTGCTCATAGGCTAATTATCGAAGGGAGTGGAAAGACATGGAAGCAGGACCAAAGAGTCAGGCTTCAACACATAGACACTAGTGGCTACCTCCATAGCCATGACAAGAAGTACCAACGTATCGCCGGTGGTCAACAAGAGGTAAACTAAATATCATAATATTTCATCGAAGCCTGATCTTCGAGATTAGTTCCAATGTCTTGAAACTCATCGCTATTCAACAAGATTTAACGCATCAGATTCGGGTTTTTTCCGGCTACGCAGGTCTGTGGAATCAGGGAGAAGAAGGCAGATAATGTTTGGTTGGCAGCAGAAGGAGTTTACCTTCCCGTTAATGAGAGCAGCAAGTAAGGTGAAGAAGAAGAAGAAGAAAGAAGAGTGTTGTTAACATCTCTGGAGGACTTTGAGTCTCAGCTTTTACTCTCTCAACTTATAAACAAGAAAAGTAGAGATATATGTCTGCTAATTTATCGATTGAGAATACTTTTTAGTTGCACGAATATATATTGTTTTGGTAGATATTATGCATTTATCTTCTTGAATGCTTCTACTTTCATAGTCTCTTTGAAGGTTGAACCCCTTAATCAATGATGACTTCGACCGGCGTCGTTTTGTTCCGCAAACCAGCTTGTTCTGTTTAGTTTTATCTTACTGCAGTCGTAACTCGTAACCCTCTCAGTCTCAGTGAAATGGAAAGTCGAAGCCTCCTTGCCAGTTAGAGTCTTTCACAAGTCTCCACATTCAAAATGCCTTAAAAATACTAGAAACACAAATTGAATTTCTAAAATATCACTGTACTTCGGAATTTTTTCCAACATCACCATAAACTTTAGATTTAGAAAGGCTTCTTAACAGTTTAGTAAAGGTTGCTAAATCATTTGTGATCATTTCTTAAGTTTGTAGAAACTCTTTCATAACCCAATGTTTGTTGGTGTTCTTAGAATTGTTGTATATTGAGAAGTTCTGTAGTTTTCGGAGTATTATTTATAGTTTTAATACACATGTACACTTTACTATAATTTTGTACATGACTAAGTCATGGTGTATATAATAAGAATAAATTAAATGCGTGACCAGATTTTTGGTTGGTCCGCACCGACCTGATGGACTTATGTACTTATACTTTCACCATCAATGAAAATGAACAACGAAAATTAAAAAAGGCATGCCAATATATAGGAAATCAATCATTTGAAAGTTGCCACACCATATGTGAAACTTATTAAGAAAAAAGTGGACCTACAGTATTTAATTGAACACTTTAAAATGGTCAGTCAATTTTTCTTTTACTGTCACTAAACCTGGCTGCCAATCGAATCCATAGTAACTGTAACGCAAAAATATACTGTCCATCAGTCCATGCATGCCTCATAGATCTACCCAAGAATAGTCGTGTGGTCGTGTCCATACTGTATATCTCTCATTATAGCTTCAATTTTTTTTGTCGTGTATACTTAAATTATAATATTAACAAATATGCACGTCTCCTTCAAATTATTCCATCTTACTTCATAAATATTTCCATCACTCTCTCCATCTTTTAAACACACAATATAAAATAAAATCGTGCATGTGCCTAATATGATATTACAGATAGTAATTTACAATTGGCAAAACTTCAAACTCTTTGTCTATAAGGTGGGGTAATTGTTTTTTAACGGCACCAAAGGTGGGGTTTACAGGTTTTCAACCACCATAAAATATAAATGAAAATGAAACGAAATAAGTGATGTAAACTAGTTGCGAGGTACGTTGCGTAGCTTCCTTCTTGTCTCTATGAAATTGTGAATATGATGCGACAAGAGCTCTTAAATTTGTTTACTCTTTATGCACAACTTCGTGTGTGTCGGTGTACCCATATTCCAGAACCTAGCTATACTTAGAAAAAGAAAATGTAATTCTAGAGCGAGTTACGTTTTAGGATCTCAATAACAATCAGTTAAATACAAATCCTAAAATTCATAAACCGGAAAAACAAATACACTATCCTGTCAATCAACATTTTCTTCATGTACGTTAAAAACAACTATTTTGGTTTTTCCAAGATTCGTCTTATACGTACGTTAGTCCAACGAATATATAAAAGAAAATAATAATCTAACAAACAACGTACAGAAAAAGTTGTCGGTTCTTCGCAAATCCCACGAGTGTGCAATAAACATTGGCGTAACAACGTTCATAATATTTTAATGAACACTCGTACAGCCACGATTCACGAGTGGACCAATGCATGTTTAATACAAAGAAATGAAAGCTAGTTTTGGCCTTTTGGGATAGAAAATGAAAGAAGTCTTTAGACAAAAATTGTAAAGTTACGTTAAATTTGGGGTCCGTGAATGACCATTGTGCCTACGAGGATCCAAGAAAACAAATTCAATACCCCTTATTTTCCCTTTAACTACACTCGATGCCACTGACCTAACCTTGGGTAGAAAGTAAACTACCATCTATGCAAGTAACCTAATTCAAGAATGTTAAAACCAATAACAATCAATTTTATTGGAAAATGATTCATCATGATTCAAGAAAACCACTTACAACTTTTGCTATTTTAGCGTCTAAAAAGTTAAGCTCTTTGTGAAATGTTGTGAAGTATCAGTAGTAACAACAAACTCCTGTGGTAAATTAGCTCTCTTGACAATCCTCTTCATGTTGCTCTGTAAACTCTGTTCCACCAACTGCTTCACTGCTCTCCTCTCATCACTCATCCTAACCTCATCCTTCACTCTACCCAACGAAGACGACGAAGCAGAAGCAAAAGAAGTTCCGTAAATCGGAGCCGAGACTTGCTTCCCTTTGTCCACCACTCTCAAACACTCTAATATCCTCGAAGCTCGCTTCTGCACCAAGGCACTCCCCACAAGCGTTAACTCAAGCAACGACGACTCAATCCCGGCTTCGATCATCGCCTTTCGGTCTCCATACCCTTTGTGAGCCATTAACATGAGAATGTAAATAGCTTTCTCTTGACATTTCACTGAATCACTCCAGTTCAACACGTCGACCAAAATCGGAATCGATTCCGTCGCTGCTCCGATCGCTTTCCGGCCTGAGGAGACTGATGCTACGTTGGTTAAGATTGCGAGGATCCTCTCGCTCACTTCCATGTCTCCTAACGTGTTCAAGAGGAACGGAATCAGATCGGTTTCGAGGATGGAGGAGACGTTCTGGTGGTGGATTGAGAGGTTGTAGAGAGCTCTGAGAGCGTCTTCTCTGGCTTGCGAGCTGCTTGTTTCTTCCGAGAGGGTTTTCGCTAGGAATGTGATTGCACCGGAGGCGGCGCCGATGATCGGTTTGTTTGAGTCTAATGCGCTTAAACCGAGGAAATTCGCGACGATTGCTTCGGTTGTTGCTTGGTTTGGTGGTTTTGATGATTCGATTAGCTTTAGCATTTTGTGAAGAGCTCCTTCTTTAACAATTGCTTCTTTGTTCCTGGAGAATTTTGCAGAGAATTTATCAGTAAGATCTATAAATTGACAAATGATTGAATTAAATGCTTCAGATGTAACCAGAAAAAGCAATTGATAGTGACGTTAAGAAGAAAACAATTATGTCACTTTCTTCATTGTGATGATCCAAAATCGGAGAAAATTTTCCAGAAATCAAACCTAAAATTCACAATTGGTAACATGCAATGGAGACTGAAACTGGAAATGAGGAGATCGATGAGAGACTTACGCGTCGTTGCCGATCCCGAGGTTGAGAAGAGCGTAGAGTGAAGCGATCTGAGAATCTTCGATTGGTGAATCGTCGATCATGTTGACCAGCGGAGGAATCGCGCCGAGCGTCGCGAGTGTAACTCTCGCCTCCGTGTCATCCCTCGCTAACGACCGGACCTCACTCGCCGCCGCTGTTTTCTTCTCGCCGTCGTCTCCACACTCCGATTGTAAATCCCTAACCACGCGATTCATAATCTCCATCGTTTGCTCCTCCGTCTTCTTCTCCGTCTCCATCTTCGTTGAGTTTAACAGATCGCTGAGCGTCTCTGGTTCCTCTCCGATCGTTGCAGGTTTTGGATCACTCGTCGCGATATTAGTTTTTGTAGATTCGGTTTTATCTTCATCGTCGTCTTCTTCTTCTCGGAGGTTCCGTCGATAACGAGAGCTACCGCCGCAGCTAATGGCGTCGAAGATTATCCTGCGGAATGTCGATCCGGAGAAGACGTTCCCGGAGGTGGAGGAAGAAGCGGACGGAATGCGGTGAAGGATGAGTGAATCGACATTGTTCCGGTGACACTTGGCCATTATCGCCGATCAATTCTATAGAGAATGAGGAAGAAAGAGAGAGAGAAAGAGGAAGTGATACAAAAGAATTTGTTCTGTTTTTGGTTTGTTTTTATTTGGAGGCGGAAACAGAGGAAAGTATATATTTTATTTTTGATTTTTTTAGAGATTTAGTCGACCTTTCTAATTTAAAATTTATTTATTACTTCCCTTAAGCCCATGTGAGAATCTTTGGTAAATTAATTACATAGACTTATTATTGACATTTTCCTTTTGAAATGTAAAGTTTCATTAATTTAGCTACGTCCTATTTGGTACGAATTGTACGATATATTTATTTCAAGCATTTTTAGTTGTGGACCTTGTGGTTAATATCCTAAACTACTGGTAAATACTTTACAAAAAGTTAATCTTTTAGGAATCATGGTTCGAAATTTCAAATCTTTCCACTATGATTTAGTCATTTATGGCTTGGCCATCTTTAAACGTTTTAAATGGCAAGAAATCCCAAATTTATTGATTTTGACTAAATATAATCTAATCATACTTATCCACCTACAAGATTAGTGGAATTCGAGGTTTTTTGTTTACTTTATATAGTTACATGAACGGTACTAATAATAAGTGAGTGCATTCAAAGTATAATGGAAAATTTGAAATTCAATTGTTCAGTTTAACATTAGACCAGATGTATCAGGTTGTTTCCCCCATTAGACGACACGACTGACATTTCACAGTCACTAACCACAACAGGTAAGCAATTATATATCACTAATGAGAATATTAACTCGATTATACATCAGACAAAGGAATTAATAAGAAATTAAACTATAGTAGTAAGAATAAACTAAGATCCAAATGTCGGAAGCAATTATGGAGAAGGATCCGATTCAATTCTGACGACAAGAGAACGTGGTTAATTTATTAAACCGTGTCTTCGATTTAACGTTGTATACGATGTTCAAATTTCATCTCCTTATAAGAAAATCAGATCTGTAGCATTTCATCTCCTACCTCACTGTTACGTACATTCAATTTAAAGCCTCCATAAATGATCTTAATTCTTTAACACATATATTCACCGCTCAAAGTTCAAATGTTTATGAACAAAGAAAAAGTTACTAAACTTGAATGCAGCTTTTTCACATTTCTATATTTTGAAAACATGGTTTCATTTTCAAAATATAAAGTACTACAAGTACAATATACGGAATGGAAAAAAAAGCTGAAAGCTAACAAATAATTTGATATTTATCTATCATATTTTAGTTACATATCCGAATTAGTTAAATCCAATCAGTGATTTTTCTGATATTCTCGTTCCATCTAGTGATTCCACTTTTTCATAATTCAACTAATCTACTATTTTGATTTAATATTAGTGAAGTCCAATATGTTTCCATGTGCTTTTTGTCGTAGTAGATAACGTGAACACAAAGTTATAAATCTACAAACGATATAACACAGATTAGTTAAAAACACTAACAGAGTAGTCTAATTTAGTTCTATGATCAAACGGCCATTTCTTCAACAGGAGCATCATTATTCTCAAGCTTCTTGATGACCAATTTGTTGTTTGACTGATCAACATCAAGAAGAATAGTGTCTTCCTCTGCAAAATCTCCTTTCAAAACTTCAACAGCGATCTCATTCTCCACCATCTGCTGAATCACTCTCTTCACAGGCCTTGCTCCATAGTTTGGATCAAAACCAAGCTGAGCAAGAAGATTCACTGCTTCTTTTGTGTACTGAAGATTTATCTTCTTCTGTTCCAACCTGTTCTTCACTCGTCTCATCTGCAAACAAAAATGGCAACAGATACATTCATAAACCAAACCAAAACCGAAAATGGATGTAAAGACTCAAAGAGAGTTTTATCTTTATCATTACCTGCAGCTCAACGATTTTGGAGATTTCTTTTGAATCCAGCGGCTGGAAAACTATGTATTCGTCGATTCTGTTCATAAACTCCGGCCTGAAAGTCTGTCTTGCTAAATCCACAACTTGTCGCTTCATCATCTCATAAACAGCTTCTTTGCTATCTCCAGTGTTGCTTAGTGTGTCGAGTATGTGGTGAGATCCTATATTAGACGTCATGATCACAACACAGTTTGTGAAACTCACTGTCCTCCCTTGAGAGTCTGTGATTCTTCCGTCGTCTAGCAGCTGTAGCAAGATGTTGAAGACATCAGGGTGTGCTTTCTCGATCTCATCGAACAGAACAACCGAGTAAGGTCTCCTGCGAACGACTTCGGTTAACTGCCCGCCTTCTTCATAACCGACGTAGCCAGGAGGTGCACCAACGAGCCGTGAGACAGAGAATTTCTCCATGTACTCACTCATATCAATCCTCACTATCGCGTTCTCAGTGTTGAAAAGGTATCCGGCTAGAGCCTTGGCGAGCTCGGTTTTACCAACACCTGTTGGTCCCATGAACATGAAGCTGGCTATCGGACGGTTTGGATCAGAGAGACCGGACCTTGATCTACGGATAGCATCAGCTACTGATTTCACAGCGATGTCTTGACCAACTACTCTCTTGTGGAGCACTTCTTCCAACATGACCAGCTTCTCTCGCTCTGATTGCTGAAGGTTTGATAGTGGAATACCTGTCCACTTGCTTACTATCTCTGTAATGTCGAGATCGGTTACCTCTTCTCGGAGTAGTGACTGTCCAGACTCTCGGAATCTTGCCAGATTCTTCTCACCTTCTTCTAACTGGCGCTGGAGGGACATAAGTGTTCCATACTTCAGCTCAGCAGCACGTTCAAGATTGTATTCACGTTCAGCGGATTCGATTTCCAAGTTCACTCGGTCGATCTGTTAAACATAGAACATAAGAAGGAGATTAGGGATGATATATATCAACCAGTACAACTACATTATGCCGAAACAGCTAGGAGATAGATTTTACCTCTTCCTTAAATGAACGTATTTTGGTCATGAGAGTCTTTTCTTTCTCCCACTGGTCACTGAATTCTTTTTGTTTATCTTTGAGTGTTATCAAATCATTCTCAATCTTGTGTAGCCGTTCTTTAGAAGCTTTATCAGTATCGTTTTTCAAAGAAAGCCTCTCCATCTCCAGTTTGATCACAGCTCTGTCTATTTCATCGAGTTCTGTTGGTTTAGAAGTGATCTCCATCTTCAGCTTTGCGGCAGCTTCGTCAACAAGATCAATAGCTGAAAACAAAGAACATTCATCTTAGAAAAGCCAAACACTTTCCCAAGGAAGCTAATAAAGTATCAGGAACAGGTACATGTTCATACCTTTGTCTGGCAGGAAGCGTTCAGTGATGTAGCGGTCTGCAAGAACCGCTGCTGAAACAAGGGAACCATCTGATATCTTAACACCATGGTGTAACTCGTACCGCTCTCTTAACCCACGGAGAATGGAGATGGTATCTTCAACAGATGGCTGACCACAGAACACTTGCTGAAACCTACGTTCCAGAGCTGGATCTTTCTCTACGTATTTGCGGTATTCAGTTAGTGTAGTTGCACCAATGCATCTCAGTTCACCTCGTCCGAGCATTGGTTTCAAGAGGTTGCTCGCATCCATTGCTCCACCAGAAGCTCCTACACAAGTGGTAAATAATATCAGCCAATTCATTACTTCCCTACCAGCAACAATGTATTGTGTACATCACATATTCATACATGTATTGTATACAAATAATCATAATTTTTTTTGTACCTGCACCAACAACAGTGTGGATTTCATCAATGAACAAGATTGTCTGCCCGTTGGAAGCAGTTACTTCCTTCAGTACTGCTTTCAACCTTTCCTCAAATTCCCCTCGAAACTTGGCACCGGCAAGCAGTGAACCCATGTCGAGAGATATCAACTACATTATAAAGCAACCAAGCAAAGCATGTTAAAATCTTCCCTTGGCCTCTTTTATATAAAAAAGGTAACAATTAACAGACTAAGGCAAAGAGAAAACTGGACCAACCTTCCGATTCATGAGAGGTTCAGGGACATCCCCTCGTACAATCCGCTGGGCCAACCTGAAAAGGTTCAAATCAAATTTGTGTAAAGTTGTAAGTTTCAGAGATATTACAAAAGAAAAGAGTAACAATGAATATAACTGGAAGCCTTACCCTTCTGCAATTGCAGTTTTCCCAACACCAGGCTCACCAATGATAACAGGATTGTTTTTAGTCCTCCTGCATAATATCTGGATGCAACGCCGAATTTCATCATCACGTCCAATGACAGGATCAAGCTTTCCTTTTTTAGCCATCTCAGTTAAATCATTCCCATACTTTTCAAGTGCATCATATCTTCCTTCAGGATCTGCATCATGTGATAGAGAACAGCAAAATGTCACATGAATAACAGATTCTAGAGACACATGGCCAAATCTACTTACCAATGTTCATCAATACAATGTGGAACAAATAACAAACATCATTCTTATTATTCTCGTCAACCAAAGTTTGCTACACATGAAGCGAATAGCAACAAAATACTTACTTTGATCAGTAACTCGTTGACTACCGCGAACCTCTTTAATAACTTCCTTCAGGGCTTCCTTCTTAAGTTTCAGAGTCTTGAAAAACTCATGTCCAAATCTTTTATCCGAATAAAAGGCCAACAGAAGGTGTTCGACAGATATGTAATCATCGGAGAACTCTTTCCGATACGTATCCGCATTTTGCAATATAGTACTAAGAGATTGCCCTAGTATCTGACCACTAGTATCACCTGTAACCTGCTCAGTCACAAGAAAATACAAGTTTGATTCAAGCAGCCTAGTGAGAAGAAATAAGGTAAAAAACAAGTTGAGAACTTGCAAAAACACCTTTGGTTGTGTGGATATGAAGTAGTCTGTAGCTTGTAGAACAGAGCTGTTATCGATTCCAGCCTTTGTGAATATTCGCCTTGCAAGGCCGTCTTTCTGCTGGAGAAGAGCTTTCATCAAGTGTTCGGATTCGACAATTTGCTGTTTCGATTCACGAGCTGCATCGTAGGCATTGATGATACCTTCCCAAGCCATCTCCGTATACGCATTTTGATT